TCCATAGCCATATTCATTCCTTTGAATTGCTCATTCCTTTTTATTGCTTGTTGTTAAAATGAGACCTTGTGAAAAGCAGGGACTTACTTTATGTATATTCACTTAGAAAAGATATTTATCTTGTAAAACCAACATGTTCTAGATTTGTTGAAACTATTTCATCAATAGAATTAGGAAGGATTTATAAGAAATACACCAGATTATTCCGTGATATTTACTCCTCACACTTACAGACAGGCTAACGATGAGTACACCATTCTGGCCAATTCCTGGAGGTATTATCAGCAGTATTCTAACAAACTGTTCTTTGCTATGGTGGACTATGATGAGGGGTCTGATGTATTCTCCTCGGTAAGCATTGTCAGACTTATCATTTTATCATCTACATGTCAAAAATAAATCAAGGGTTAATTTACACTATATTCTGTGGACTTCTAATTCTGAATTATACATTTTCTTTTGCATTTCTAGATGAAACTTAACACTGCCCCAGTGTTTATGCATTTCCCAGCCAAAGGAAAACCCAAGAAAGGAGATACCATGGACATTCACCGGTTTGTTCTATACACTCTTAGTCCCCCCAAAAGGGGGATAACTATAGACACTCACATTTAAGGTATTGTAAATGGCCATAAAACCAGAGAGGGGATACCATAAACATTCACTAGAGTATTGTAAAGCTGAGTTATTCAGGCATTGCTCATGATTGGGATTTTTCCTCATTTGAAAAGACTGATTGTATAATGCACTTATACAAACTGCATTCATTTGTTTTGTAATTTTACAGAGTTGGATTTGCTGCTGAACAGATTGCCAAATGGGTTGCTGAGAGAACAGACATAAATGTAAAAAAAAAAGTTTTTACTATTTAAAAATATATGCTATACATGTTCATGTAAAATTTATCAGTTCATAAAAACACAGCTCCTTCTAAAGATTTTCTGTACTGGCTACATGTAGGGGAATAATTGACAAAGTCTAGTTGAACTTCGTCATCTTGTCAGTGAACACTTGTATCTCAAATACTTGGGATATGTTGAAGTGAGTTGGTAGTACCAACCCCTTATCTTTATGTTTTTAAACCTCCTTATTTTGAATCCTTGCAAATCTGTAAGTTTAATATTGATTCTGTCGAGTTGAATGTTTGACTCTACATGGTCTATTGTTTTGGATGGTAAACACACAAATTAGAGTCTTACCCACGTATTTTGACATGTTCATATATTTTTACATGATGGTATATTGCATTATTTCTGTTCTGTAGATTCGTGTATTCCGACCCCCAAATTACTCTGGGACTCTGGCTCTGGCACTCTTGTTTGCTCTGATTGGAGGACTCCTATACTTAAAAAGAAACAATTTAGAATTCCTGTACAATAAAACAGTCTGGGGAGTTCTATCACTGGTTCGTATGGATCAATGTAGGACAAGAGTTTGTGTAAAATTCATAGAATAAAGCATGTTTTTTGAATGTAATTAGAGAGATAAAACAGGTACTTACAGATAATAACTTAATATTTCAGTTTGTCATTTTTGTCATGACTTCGGGTCAGATGTGGAACCACATTAGAGGACCACCAGTAATGCACAAAAACCCATCAACAGGACAAATTGTATGTACAGGGTGGGAGGGTCAAGTACTAAATCAGAAGAAATTTATAAAGTTTAAGGGTATTTTGAAGGCATGACAGACTGTATTTGTATATATGTGATGTATGTGACATTTTAGGGTATTTGTATGGGAGAAATTTTAATGAGGTATTTAAAGGATGGTTGATTTTGTCTGGTCTGCCAAATTTTTAAGTGATCATGAAAACTGTTCTGAGAAGTCCACAATTCATGATTTTATTATGATAATGTGCAGATTGGTAATGGTATCTAAAATATTGGAACATAAACTTGGTTTTTCTAACAACATTTTAATTTTTTTTTATGCATGGTTCATTTTTCTTCCCCAACAGAATTACATTCATGGCAGCAGTCAGGGACAGTTTATAGCAGAAACTTACATAGTGTTCTTCTTAAGTATCCTTACTAACAGGAAGGGTCAAAGGTTATTTTTATTATTTTTTAGCATGTATATATGAATTTTTAATGGACTTTTCATAGTTTTATTTTTCTGCCTCTTTTACAATAAAACATTAACATTATGGAATAAATTATTTGTTACTTGCACTGTGCTTGTACACAAATTTTCAGTACTGCATGTGGTCACGTCTGTTGCACTGCGGTGTATTTTATTTCTCTGCGTTGCTTTTTAGATATTTGTAGATTTGGAACAGAATTCTCAGACCTGGGCTGAAAGCTTCATTGTGTTTGCTCTTTGTATCTTTGCATCACTGCTTTTGTTTTTGCACTTTCACTTTCTGGGAAATCTTTCAGACTGAATAAGAGAGAATCACACATCCTTAAATTTGATCAACAGACTACCTTCATGTAATCGCTCTGAGTTAGGTAGATGGTTAGATAAAGGCTTTGTAAATCAGGCAGGTGGTGTCTAACTTAAATGGTTTTGCTACGTAGATCATAATTGACACTATATGTACTACTAGTGCATTTGCCAGTTTATGACATTTTGGAATTACAACAGTCATGTGTATGAACAAGTTGGGAAGAAAGTTGACATCTTTGATGAAACTGATAAGAAAAAAGTCAACCTGTGACAGCAAGTTACATGTATTTTTCTCAAAATACATGTACTTTTTAGCTCACCTCGATGAAGTCAAGATAGCTTATGTTATACCCCCCGCGTCGGCGTTCTGGTTAAAGCTTTAGGAGCAAGTCCATTCCCAAGTAACTATAAGCCCAACCTGGAATAAAATTGCATCGATGATGCATCTAGGGATGGACGCTACCACACTTGCTTTTGATGCTGGATCTGACTTGGATTTTCCAGATGAGTGACCATGTTAAAGTATTTGGAGCAGGTCCATTCCCAAGTAACTATAAGCCCTACCTGGACCAATTTTGCGTGGATGATGCATCTAGAGATGGACACTACCACCAATGCTTTGGATGCTGGATCTGACCTTGATTTTTGGAGAAGCTATATTATATTATGGCCTGTTATGATTAAACTTGCATAGATGGGGCATCTGAGGATGAAAACTTCCAGACTTGCTTTGGATGTTGGAACTGACCAAAATTTTATTGATTAGTAAACAAATTACTGGTAAAAGTTTTTTGAGCAGGTCTATTTCCAAGAAACTATAAGTCCCACTTAAACTAAACTTGCATGGATATTGATCTTGGGATGTACACTAACTAGAAAAAAAATATGATGTGAAATTTGTCTTACCTAGAGATAAATTTCTTCGAGGTGAGCTTTGTAATCTTTAATTACCTACGTTTCTGTAAATGATTACGAGGTGGTATGGCAACCTATTACACTCTCACAAACTTTGGTTTACACTGGGATGTCAGTAAATATAACATACCAGTAATTCTGTAACACTTTTTGAGTTTTTTTCTGAGGGGGTTGGGGGGGGGGGATCTTATTGTTACACTATACTTTTTAATGCATTATTTCTTTCACATTTTCTCTCTCTGTGATTTCTTATTGCCGTGCACATCTTATCTCTTACCAGGAAAGGCCATCATTAATTATTAGCTCACTTCAGGAAGTTGGGGAGCTTTTCAAGTACTTTTATGCCCTAAATTAATCAGAGATGCATGGAGGATGCTTCTAGTGTGTTTCGTTGTACCAATCAAGGTTTCAGATGCTGCGATTACAGCTAAAGAATGACCAGATCAATGTTTTTGGAGCAGGTTAAAGCTTTTGGAGCAGGTTTAATTTTTTGGAGCAGGTTAAAGTTTCAGATGCTGCAATTTCAGCTAAAGAGTGACCAGTTAAAGTTTTTGGAGCAGGGTAAATTTTTAGAGCAGGTCTCATTTCCAAGTACATGTAACTATAAGCCCTATGTTGACCAAACTTGCATGGATGATACACCTAAGGATGCACATGGTGTAACATAATATTTTGATACCACGAAATGTTGACCTTGTTTCATCTCTGGACTTATTTGTGACAAGAGGCCCAAGGGCCTTAACGGTCACCTGAGTATAATACAACAATTTAGAAGTTAAATACACTGATAGATGAAGCATTGTTGCCCTAGCCCCCCCCCCTCCTCAAGAACCCCAAAAACTGAGGCCATATATTTAAAAATTTTGGAAGAGGCATCCTTGTCTATTATAATCATGCACTTAGTTTGTTTAAATAATCTCCAGTAGCAGAGAAGTTTTTCAAAGAATCAATGCATTTTCACTATATAATCAATAGAGCCCCGCCCTAACACCAGAACCCCTGACCCTGGGGCCATGAAATTCACAATTTTTGAAAAGGCATCCCTATGCGTTTAAATAGTCTCCAGTAGCAGAGAAGAAGATTTTCAAAGAATCAATGCATTTTCACTATATAATCAATACAGCCCCACCCTAACACCAGAACCCCTGACCCTGGGGCCATGAAATTCACAATTTTTGAAAAGGCATCCTTATGCATCATAACCATGCACTTAGTTTGTTTAAATAATACCCAGGAGCAGAGAAGAAGATTTTCAAAAAATTAAAGCATTTTTACTATATAATCAATAGAGCCCCACCCTAACACCAGAACCCCTGACCCAGGGGCCATGGCTTTCAAAATTCTGGAAGAGGCCCACCTCCTCATCATAACTACGTACTTAGTTACTTTATTAAATACCCAGGAGCAAAGAAGAAGATTTTCGAAGAATTAATGCATTTTCACTATATAATTTATAGAGCCCTGCCCTAACACCAGAACCCCTGACCCTGGGGCCATGAATTTCACAATTTTGGAAGAGGCACTCTTGCTCATCATAACTATGTACTTAGTTCCTTTATTTAATACCCAGGAGCAGAGAAGAAGATTTTCAAAGAATTAATGCATTTTCACTATATAATCAATACAGCCCCGCCCTAACACCAGAACCCCTGACCCTGGGGCCATGAATTTCACAATTTTGGAAGAGACAGTCTTGCTCATCATAACTATGTACTTAGTTCCTTTATTTAATACCCAGGAGCAGAGAAGAAGATTTTCAAAGAATTAATGCACTTTCACTATATAATCTATATAGCCCCACCCTGGGGCCAGAACCCCTGACCCTGGGGCCATGAATTTCACAATTTTGGAAGAGGCACTCTTGCTCATCATAACTATGTACTTAGTTCCTTTATTTAATACCCAGGAGCAGAGAAGAAGATTTTCAAAGAATTAATGCATTTTCACTATATAATCAATACAGCCCCGCCCTAACACCAGAACCCCTGACCCTGGGGCCATGAATTTCACAATTTTGGAAGAGACAGTCTTGCTCATCATAACTATGTACTTAGTTCCTTTATTTAATACCCAGGAGCAGAGAAGAAGATTTTCAAAGAATTAATGCACTTTCACTATATAATCTATATAGCCCCACCCTGGGGCCAGAACCCCTGACCCTGGGGCCATGAATTTCACAATTTTGGAAGAGGCACTCTTGCTCATCATAACTATGTACTCAGTTCCTTTATTTAATACCCAGGAGCAGAGAAGAAGATTTTCAAAGAATTAATGCATTTTCACTATATAATCAATACAGCCCCGCCCTAACACCAGAACCCCTGACCCTGGGGCCATGAATTTCACAATTTTGGAAGAGACAGTCTTGCTCATCATAACTATGTACTTAGTAACTTTATTTAATACCCAGGAGCAGAGAAGAAGATTTTCAAAGAATTTATGCACTTTCACTATATGATCTATATAGCCCCACCCTGGGGCCAGAACCCCTGACCCTGGGGCCATGAATTTCACAATTTTGGTAGAGGGCTCAATGCTTATTACAATGATGCCAACAGTTTGACTGCTTCATGTCCGGGAGTAAAGAAGAAGATTTTTAAAGATTGCATTATTTTTGGTGGTTTTAGCCCCACCCCTCAGGCCCCGGGGGGGCAGGGACCATGAAATTCACAATTTTTGTTCCCCTTCACCCATAGATGCTATATACCAAATTTGGTTGAAATTGGTTGAGCGGTTCTAGAGAAGAAGTTAAAAATGTTCAAAAGTTAACGCACGACGACGGACAAAAACAGATAGCAATAGGTCACCTGAGTGACTCAGGTGACCTAATAATATGCAGTACAATGAAGAGTAAGAAATCACTGTTCTTTTATTAATAATTGACTTTTGGGAACTTAATATGCAAAAACCACTAACTTATTTTAATTTTGGATCCAAAATGATTTTTTCTATATTTCACTGTTAAAACTTGTGAAAGCCTGTAACTTGCAAAAAAAACCCATTTTGCTTAAAAAAAAAATTGTGAATATGAAAAGTTTGACACACGCAATCATATGAATGATTTTTGTTACACAATTCATGTATATTGATAGCATGCATCTCTTCTCTCTCTCTGAAAAATGAAGCTCATCTTCTGTAGCTTTTAACAAATGCAAATTTTTTATGTTCTGCAGAATATGAAAAAAATCAAAAAAATACTTCTTCTATCAAGTTTGCAAGAGTACAGGTTCCTTAACTAGAATTCTCAGATGCTGCAGTAGTAGGGGGCATTGTTCTGCTCAACGAAGCAAATTCTGTCAAAGGAGATCCCGGCAAGAAAAGAAGTAAGAAAATCACACACTATCATCAAAATGATACTGAATGTAAATATCAGAATATACGTTATTTATAATTTTGGACTTGAGTGTTATTTTTTTGATTTTTCAGTTTTATCGATGGTGGGGCTGGGATTTGTGGCCATTTTTTTCAGTCTCCTCTTATCTGTGTTCAGATCCAAGTACCAGGGATACCCGTACAGGTACGCTGTACTTCTCGTGTAATACAGGTGTATATAAACACATATAAAAAGAACTTATTTATATACATGTTTATTGTACTAAAAAAGTTTTATCAAGTTTATATCAACTGATCTTTTCTTATTCCAGTTTCTTGTTCAAGTAGAGAAGATCCAGATTGTGCATTGAACGTTTTATTTTATGGATCCTTAATTTTGTGTCTTTTCATGGTGGAACATACCTGGTAAATGTTGTGGAAGTTGTTTTATTGAGGTGAATGCTACTTGCAATTATGTGAATGTACTGTATTTGTGTAAAATTGTGTTGACATTGCAATTTGTTAAACTTCGACCAAATGGCTGCCATATTTGTGTGTGAGAAAGAATACACTTTTTTTAATGTTAAGTGGCAATCTCTAGAAATATCAAAATTTTAATAAATTTATCTTGATAAAAATGTGTTTTGCCTTCAATTTTTATGAAAACCCTATTAAGACCAAAAACTAGGTCACTGTGAAACTTCAAGGATACATTTCTATTAAATTCAATGTCTTAAGATTGTACACAAGATATAGGATTACAAAATCTTGTCAATTGATGCTTCTTGGGGATGGAAGATGTTTTGACCCTTTAAAGGACAGGGATTTGTCCATTTTTGGTATAATTTCATGACTACATCCTGTAAGAACATTTCAGAGCAATATACATGTATTATACAAGCATGTTGAGGAGCATCTTTTATCTGAAATAGTTTTAAAATAAATTTTTGGGGCATGGTTGATGGTCATACATCCTTGCAGTTTTATCAATATTTAAGAAAAATGGGAAATTGGTGCATCAACACAAAAGGCCTGAGGGCCTTAACAGTCACCTGAGAATAATACAACTCTGTAAAAATCCATAGAAGTATAAAATACACAACTAGATGAAATTATATTGCTCAAAAACAACAGGAATAAGATGGACCAGGGATAAACAAAAAAGTCTGGTTATAATCAGCAACAGCCCAGTATAAATATTATTCCATTTACCTATCAATTACATTATTTACAGAAATTAATTATAATGTGAATGACAAAGGGGAATAATTTCTCTTCAGGTAGAATAAAGATGTCCATACATGTCCATAACATAGCCTCACCTAAACTTCAGACCAGGGACTAAGTATTTGATAATTTTGGAAAAGGCATTATTACTCATCAAAACCATGCACTAACTTTTTCTACGTAATACTCAAAGCAGAGAAGATTTTCATATAGCTCTCTGCATGATCTATAGACCCCTAACACCAGAACCCCTGACCCAGGGGGCAGGGGCCATAAATTTTACAATTTTGGAAGAGGCATCCTTGCTCATCATAGACATGCACTTAGTTTGTTTGCTAGACACCCAAGAGCAAGAAGATTTTCAAAGAATTAATGCATTCTCACTATGCTCTGCCCTAACTCCAGAACCCCTGACCCTGGGGCAATAAATTTCACAATTTTGAAAGAGGCATCCCTGCTTATCATACTTGTGCACTTTGTCTGCTTAATACACAGGAGCAGAGTCACCCATGTGGCGCAGTGGTCAGAGCGTCTGCTCTAGAGTCGTGAAGTAAGGAGTTGATCCTTACGTCGCAGGTTCGAATCCCACTGTGGGATGTGGAGACCGGTCCTTTGGATGAGACCGTATAAACCGAGGTCCCGTGTCGCAGCTGGCACGAAAAAGATCCCTCACTGCTCAATAGCCGTAAGTGCTGAGCATAGGACAAAATTTGCAGCTCTCCACCGGCAAGTGGTGGCGTCTCCATATGAGTGAAAAATTCTTGAGAGGGACGTTAAACAACATACAAACAAACAAACAAACACAGGAGCAGAGAAGCTTTTCCTGTATTAATGCATTTTCACTATCTGATCATTAGAGCCTCACCGTTACACCAGAACCCTTGACCCACGGTCTTTTAATTAAAAAACATAAATCCATTTTAAGTATTTATTGCACAAAATGGCTAACCTATATGTACATTTATGTACGGTAATAAGAGTTGAACACACTTTTGTGAGGTAACTATTTCATTGACATGCATACCTTAATTATTTTTCATTCAATACCCTTTTAAATATTACATTGAACTGCAGTTAACTGTGTTATTTCGACAGCCAATACCTAGCCAATGATTTTTCCCTATTTCTAAAAATTTCCCTGTAAAAGTGACCCCTAGGACTGTGGTCTGCACCAATCAAAAGCATTTTGGAACATTTTAAACCATGGAGACACATCAAAGTTTCTCATTTCCTGTGGCATCCATGCACATTGCCAAGGCAGGAAGCATCGCTCAGGGTGTGGCATGATGGCAAGATGGCGGCCATCTTCTGAACAAATGGCAGCGATCCCATCCCGGGATCCATTGGGATTGAAAGGGTAGACTTCAGTGGGCTTCCCTTGATCATCCACGTACTTCACTGCTATCAGTTTGTCTCTACACATATCCTGATAAATCCCCTCTGAACGAAACACCATTCTACCTGTAAAATGTTAAAAACACCTTTCTATCCGTAAAATTTTTTTTTTTTTTTTTTTTTTTCAAAAGCGCACAATCTTAGTATATGTACAGTAAATGAAGATACAGACAGCTAAGACTATAATAGAAATAGAAATTTTCATCCAGGTAAAATTTTGTAAATATTTAACACACTTCTTTTCAAAATTTATCTGCAAACACATCTAACCTATGAAATATTAACTTAATTGCTTTTCACAACATCTGACCTTGGTTTATTTAACCTAGAATTTATAGCATTAATATGTTTCAAATTTTTATTTTAAAATAAAACTTTTCATACACCTTTTAACAACTCTAAAATATCAAGAATTGATCACTAAATTCATACTAATATCTATAATTGTATATATAGAGATAAATGTTGTAAATGTAAAACTACCTTCACCATGTGCACTCCACATGCCAAACACTGTGTCCTCCATTCCTTTAAACATGATAGCTGGGCTGTTCATCACTCGTACAGAACTGAAGCGACACTCGAACCTCTCTGATAAATTGTGATCCAAAAAAAGTCCCTGTCCAACACCACTGTTGCTGTTTTCTACATAAAAAAGAGCATGAGGAGTTTATCTTGTGAATAAAACAACAGTGTTGACAGATTTCATTTTGCTTCATTAGCATTGTTTCGGAAAAGTAAGAAAGAAAAGTTTACTTTCATTACCCATGAAAGGACTACACAAAACAATGTCCAGATTGTTATTCAAGTTTATACATATTTTCCTGAAAATATGTATTTTAGATATGATTACTACTTAAATGGAGCATCCCCTCACAATTTGAGCATGAGCACTGCTATAAAGTGGACCATCCTCTCACAATTTTAATATGGACACTAATACAAAGTGGAGTATCCCCTCACAATTTGGGCATGGGTACTGCTATAAAGTGGACCACCTGCTCACAATTTTGAAATGGGCACTGCAATAAATTGGACATCCTTCTCACAATTTCGACATGGGGCACTGCACTAAAACAGGACATCCCTTCACAATTTTGACATGGGCACTGCAATAAAGTCTACCATCCCCTCACAATTTTGACATGGGCACTGCAATAAAGTCTACCATCCCCTCACAATTTTGACATGGACACTGCTACAAGGTGGACCATCCCCTCACAATTTTGACAAAAGTAGAGAGTTGTTCTACCTTTTAAATCCTCATCAGGAGCTACCCAGCCAAGTAGTGCCATCAGTTGACAACCATTACAGACCCCTAGACTGAATGTGTCGGGCCTCTCCTTAAACTTCAACAGCTGTTCTCGAACACTTTGGTTAAATAGCGCAGTAGCAGCCCAACCTGAAATGAAAACGGAATTTTAAAATATATTCTAACTTGTAAAATTTTGAAAGGTGGTGCAAGTTATTTATTATGCAGTTTTCAATCACACTGTACATAAATTTTTTTGCAAAGAAATGCCAATTTAAGATTTCTACAATGCCACGAATAATGTGATCAACTCGATCTACAAGTTTCTTGTAGAAACAAACCTTTGGCAGATCCACATACATCAGCATAGCTAAAGCCTCCCACAAAAAATAGTCCTCTAAATTGGTCCAAGTTTATTTGTTCCGTACACAGGTCCTCCATGTTTACATCCCACACCTCAAAGCCAGCCATGTGGAGCACAGCAGCCATCTCTCGATCAGAGTTACTTCCCTCTTCTCTAAGGACGGCTACTTTTGGCAAGGGTTGACCTGTCATGAGAAAAATATATTGGGAATCGTACATGCAAAAAACAACCAAAGAATTGTCACCAACACCCAGTTGCAATGATATAAAGTGGGAACCCCCCCCCCCCCCCCCGAAATAATTTAAGAGGTTCCTGGGCCACAATGCTCACCTGCATAACTATAACCCTTCTTGTTTTTCATCAGCAGATGATTCTTTTTCCAATATATTCCTATGTAAAATTTTGATCGCTTACTGTAGCCAGATGTGTCAGAAAGATTTCACTTACGTTTCCTCCTTTCTGGCTCAGTGGTTCTTGAGAAGATTTTTGAATGACCTCATCCAATTTTTACTCTTCCTTAAATATCTCCCCATGGATAAGGGTGTGGCCCTTCATTTGACTGAACTGAATCCTCTTCACTCAAGGATACTCTGTGCCAAGTTTGGATGAAATTAGCCCAGTGGTTCCAGAGAAGATGAAATTCTAAAAAGTTTACAATGACGATGACAAACAGACAAATTCTGACCAGAAAGCTCACATGAGCCTTCAGCTAAAACCAGAATTCATGCTTGTTATATGTTTTTAATTCGTCAGTGTTTTTCATGACCCACAATCCCAGCCAAATTGAGGCAGTTTCCCCGATGAAATGTCAATTTTCTCCAAAAAATATTAAATATATTTTTCATATTGTAACACATCAATGTAAAATTCACTCCAAAATGAATAAAAAAAGGTTGCTTTGTTTTTCAGATGAAAGAGTGCATGGAACAGTGAAGTTACTTTATGCAAACATTTTTAGCTGAGAAAACTTGTGTTACACAAACACATGCATTTCATAGCATGCCTTGTAAGCAGTGAAGGTGAAAAATCAACACATACTTGTCGGTCTACCTCTCTGGGAAAAGGATATAATCTCAGATTCAAATGGAACATGGTAAGGAGGCTCTAGCCTCTCTTTCAATCCTGTTTGTTCCTGGGTTACACATTTGGGATTGGCTTGAAGAAATTCTAACTGAAAACTAGTTTCCTCCCAGACATCTCTTAATACCGTCATCCTCTCTTTTATTACCTCTGTGCCTCTTATGGATATATTCACCTACAAAAATACATCCTTATGACATTTTTTTTAATTAAACAACATTACAGTTCATGTTTACTGATAGACAATATGCTACAACATGTAAAAGATAATTCAATTACACTTACATGTATTTCATTTGATTATGAGTTTTTTCATAGGGCAAAATTGGACTTTATGCCCTGCAATTGCCAATAGCATATTTCAATTGCTCATGTGCATTTGTCACATTTTAAATCCACCAAAACCATTTTACTACTTTTAGCCAAGTTTTTAAATCATACACTGAAGAATATTAATAACCAAGCTGAAAACTCTCCCAGTGTATGGCATTATTTCTAATATACCGTAATTTTTGGAAGATAGGTCGATACTTTTTTTCTCAGAACCGTTGGGGTCGTCCTATTTAAAGAATCGACCTTTCTAAGGCTCAAGTTTACGAAAAATGACCCAAAATCCGTAAAATTTACATCAATTTCAAAACAAACCTGTA